TATACCTACTATGCCAATGTGCTACATTATGGTATTTTTTTTTAACATGCGTGACTTAGGGTTGTAAAATTAATTTAGACCTATGTGAAAACAAATACAATACAATGGAAAAGAAAGAAAACGTCAGAGTACACCACATGTACTAAAGATATGTATTAGGTTAGGCAAGCTTTGTTTCGCTGCTAACTATACCTTTACTCACAGGTATACTAAGCTACAATGTAAATACATATCTTGGTGTGGATAATTGTCAAAAGTTTGGAAAACCACATGTATTGGGATCTTTGGGTCATATGAGTTGGACAAGATATAATGCCATTCTCAAGAACCTTCTGTGATTGAAAATGGTCAAGTACACTGCTAAGCTTAAATAAAATCCCTTGCATAGTTAAAGAAGGTAGCATACACACACACACACACACACACACACGTATATATTGAAAGGCAGAGTAACAGAGTGAGAGGCAAAGACAGAGACAGAGAGATCTTCCATCTGCTGGTTTACTTCCCAAATGGCTGCACTGGCTGGGGATGGGCCAGGACAAAGCCAGGAGCTAGGAGGTTCATCCTGGTCTCCCACATGGGTGTAGGGGTCCAAGCACTTGGGCCATCTTCTGCTGATTTCCCAGGTGCATTAGCAGGGAGTTGGATCAGAAGTAGAGCAGCGGGGACTCAAACTAGCACCCATAAGGGATACTTGCACTATAGAGCTTTAATCTGCTGCACCAACCCTGGAAGCATATATTTGAGAGATCATAGAATATTGTTGAGATGAGTCTTGGCAGATGGATTGAGCTTGGACAAGTAAAGGAGAAGGGAGGTCCTTTGGGTGCTGACCTGTGAACATAGAGTAATCTAGGTTACAGCCTGAGAACACATGTATAAGGACTGAAGTCAGGCTGTAAAGATATAGTAGTTCCCCATTATTGCAGTTTCATCTATGGTTTTAGTTACCCATGGCTAACTGAGGTCCTAAAATATTAAATGGGAAGTTCCAGAAATAAGTTGTAAATTGCATGCTGTTGCACAATGGAATCTCTTGCTATCCTGTTCCATCCTGCCTGGCCAGTGAACCATCCCTTGATCTAGTGGTACCCATGGCCCACCTGTTAGTCACTTAGTGGCTGTCTTGGTTACCTCACTGTCACACCGCAGTGCTTGTGCTCAAATAGCCCTTACTTCACTTAAATAATGGTCCCAAAGCACTTGACTAGTGATGCTGGCAATTTGAGTATGCTAAAAATAAGCCATAAAATGCTTCCTTTAAAAGAAAGGTCAGAGTTCTCAATGTATGAAAGAAAAAAAAATGCATGCAGAGGTAGCTGAGATCTACAGTAAGAATGGGGTCTTCTATCCATTCTTTTCTTCTCTGTGAAGAAAAAAAATTCCATTCATTCTAGTTTTGCCATCATATCTCAAACTGAAAATTTACAGCCACAGTGCATGACAAATGCTTAGTTAAGATGGGAAAGGCATTAAATTTATGTATGTGTGTATTCCTAGAAAAAAAATCCCAGTATATACAGGGTTGGTACTATCTGTGGTTGTAGGCATCAACTGGGGATCTTGGAACATTTGCCCTGTGGATAAATTGGGAGGGACTTGAAAGCAGACTGGGCAGGCCACACCAAGGATGATACGCCTAGCTGAAGGCTGGGGAGGCAGCTGAAACCACACTGGGCAAGTCAGAACAGGTGGTACTTAACTTTGGTCAGGACAAGGGAGGAGTCCTCCATCTCTGAGATACATAGGTGATATACATAGGCTTCAACTTTAGGAAGTATGAATTAGTGAAGGCTTACAGGATGCAACAGCGGACTACTTTAGTTAAACCCAAAGGTAATGGTACCTAAGTTAGGTGAATTCAGTGAAAAAGGAGACAGATCCCTGAGGGTAGCTGGAGAAGAAATGATCAAAAACTTACACTAGGCTGGATGGAATAACTGTGACTGGCTTAGAGCAAGTGTTTGCAACTGCCTGAGGGTGGGGGTTAGGACTGGGAGTGCAGCTTGGTACCCGAATGGTGAGGTTTAAAATTCATTTTGAAAAAGTGAATTACAATTTTTTCATAATAAAGATTTCAGGAAGCATCACTGTGTGAAATCCCCCTTGGAGTGGGAATATACATCTCATTTTAAAAATTGAGAAACCCTAACCTCCAAAGTCCCTTTCAGCTCTAATTTCTTTTGGATGACTTAATTTTACCAGTAAAGTAAGCCCGAAAGGGACACGGTGATGTGGCCAATCAGTGGCAATGCTGGAGGTAGATCTTGAGACATAAATTCCAGGATGGTGTTCATTCCATTGTAGCAAATATCTCTGATGGTTCCAATTTTAAAAGGAAATAATTTAGAGGAGAGACAGAGCTGGAAAAGCTCACTGGTCAGATCCAGATATTCACTCCCTGTTGCACTGTTTTCTATCAGAGTCCTGTTCTGATAGGCATTGCTGGAAACTTCAGGAACGCTAAAACAGGCAGGCTTGCCACAACAGTCCCTTA